TGGTACACTCTTTCTCTTCATTAAATTAGCCATGGTTGATCCTTCAGGATCAGGCTTAGTGCTTACTTTCTCCGGGGACCTTCCCTAACTGTTTCCACCCATTTACCACACCCTAAGATAGTTTCCTCTGCTGTATGCTCCATAGGTCCCCAAGTTTTTCCCTTAAACTCCTGCAAATGACTCATTACATTTGTGATTATTTGTCTGTCTTACTCCCAAGTCCACAAATTCCCTGTTTACCTTAGAACACGGTAGGGGCCTGGCAGTTACTGAATAAGCCAGTAAAGCCTCAGTCCCTTTCATGGAGCTACAGTTCTTGAAATGTCTCCCTCACAAGGATGAGGGATGGGTCGCAGCTTTCCTAGTGGTGGCACTACCCAACTAGTCCTAGGGTATCTCATCAGTTCTCTGCTCTTGCCTATACTGCTGCAGAGACCTTCGCATCCACTTACTAAGAGGTGAATGGGACAAATGTGAGGGGTGCTGCCAGATCTCCCACACCTCACTCCTTACAAGACTCTCCTATTGCGTATATAGACCCAAAACTACCCTGTGGCCTGCCCTAAGTGTGTCCTCTAGCAGGTCTATCCCAAGAGCTCAACTCCAAGCCAGGCTGCCCCTTGAGCCTGACTAAATCCCCACAGCACCTTGATACGCCCAGGCAGGAAGCAGTGAGGTGGAAAAGACGTCTTTACCCTGGAGTTTGTCCCCAAGGGCTGGCTCCAGAATGGACTTGGGGATCTTTCTGGTGGCCTTCTGCTTCGGGATCTTGGCCTTAGCTGTGGCAGTCAACGCCCTCTGTTGGGCAGCTTCTTTTCTTTGCTCATCCTTCTCCAGGAAGCTGAAGGGCTTCAAGGAAGAGAGGAGTACTTCTTTCCTTTTCTGGATCCCTGCCTGCCTGCGGGCCTCCTTGCGCTCCATGATCTCCTGGTAGAGGGGGAGGTAGACATGGGCCGGCACAGGTTGTGCCCGGAATTGCCGGTGACACTCAGCCTCCTCCTGGCCCTGTTTCTGGGCCTGCTGCCTCTCATGCTCAAAGGAGGCAGGTGAGGCCAACCACTGGGCCTTCTTCCGGGCCTCTCTTAGTGTCATGCGGAAAGGCTGTGGGACAGTGATGGATGATGCCCAGGAGCTGACACTTCTACGCTGGGATGGAGGCCTGGAACCTGAGTATGGCTGGGAATGAATCTTGGGAGTGTCAGAAGGAAGGCTGCTCAGGGAGCTGCAGCGCCTCGTGGAGCCATACCTGGGGAGAGAAAGCAGGTCTGTGCATGGAGGATGGGGCAGCCAGGAGGCCCAGCTCCTGTCCTCCACTCACCCCCAGTCCTCCCTCTAGCAGATCACAGCATCTTCTCAACCTCACATCATAGTCCCAAAGGCCTCTAAGCCTATACCTTTCTCCACCAGGCCTCCCTCCTTCCTGCAGGTCATCCTAGCTGCATCTTCTGCTGGGAAGTCTCTTCTCAGAATGTATCCAAGCACTGCACTTTGCACTCTTAATTTTTTAAAAGAGGAGGAAATGTGGTGCAGAGCAGAGCTTTAGCATCAGACCCAGATTGAAATCTTACTTCATGTAGTTACCAGCTGTGTGATCTTGGGCAAGGTTCTCTCAGAACCTCAACTTTTTCATGTGTAGAATAGTGAAAGTCGTATCTGCTTTCAGGGTATTGGGAGAAGAAAGTAAGTATTAAATGTACATGCACATAACTGGGTTTAGCCAGGGTAGCTATATCTGGCTGTCAGGAGGCGGTGTGTTCAGGAAACATCCCTTATCGGTCCCAGTGTTTAGGTGACTAAGCATTACTCAGAGTGACTTAGGACTGCTGGGTGGGAATCAGAACACATGTGTGGATGGGAAAGCTGATTCTTAGCTGGAATCTGGGTGAATGGCAACTTGCAGAAGTGGTCTTTGCCTTACAGAAGAAGAGGCCCAGAGTTAGGATGTGACTTGGCCAGAATGATGCAGTGAGGCAGCAACTGAGCTGCAATGTTTTACCTCAGAGACGCGAGGGACTGGACCCGTGGCTTCCCCCTGCCTTTGTCTTGGAAGAAACTCTCCAGGTCCTCATCATCTTCAGAGAGGTTTTCATCACTGTCTGGATCAGACAGGTAGAGGGATTCCAACAGGGACCACTGGCCCTTCTGCTGTAGTACCTGCAGGGTCTCGAAAAAGCTCCCAACTGAGTCAGAAACAGAATCTGTCTCCTCCAGGCTGAGGAACTCATCAAGTTTGCCAGCCCGAGGCAACACCAGCCCATCTCCAGATAGCTCCTCTTCTGCCTCCGTGTCTGAGGAGGATTTGGGGGGAAATATCTAAGACAAAATACAGTAGACTATGGATCAAACTATAATTTCAAATTTATTCAAAACATAACTATTAATTTCACCCTGAATAAACTTTAGAATATTAGGGGATATGGAGGACAAGGAAAATGTGTTTCTTGCTCTGAAGAAATTTCACAAATTGGCAAATGGAGTGTGCTTTGTTGAAGGGCAGGACAGGGAAGCAAAGAGCTAAAGTTGGTGCATGCAGTGTGGTGAACTTTTACAGAGCACCTACTCTGGCCCAATCATTCTTCCCCTGGCACTCCAGGAACCTTTCCCATGGCCCTAGCCACATTCTGGGCCCTGCCCTGTATGGTTTTACCTGCTTATTGCCAGTTGTCCTTTCCCTGCATCCACTGCTTTCCTCAGAGTCTAGCTAATTTCCACTTCGTCATTAGGAATGGATAACAGAAGAGAAAATGTGGTCTGGCTGAAAGGGCAATGTCTAGAAAGTGAGAAACTCGACTGAATTTAACACTTCATTCACTATTTATTGTGTGCCTAATGCATACTGAGCATTAGACTGAGAATAAGACAAGGTACCCTCTCTCGTGATGCTTCCATTCTAGTGAAGGGAGACAGACAATATAAGATGATAACAAATTAACTCAAAGTCATAAAATTGACTATATAGTGATGGGAGTGGCTATGGGAAACTTTTCCTTTGCTAAAAGCCCATCAAATAAACACCATTAGGAATGTGCTTATAATCATATTTAGGTTTATTAATTTGCTACAGTCCGCTATGGAAAATGTAGGAAAAGTTGGCAGGGTGGGGGGTAGAGGGGGACTTTTTCTAGGGTTGATTTGTCATGAATGATTCTGAGAGAGGCTAGGGAAGCAGAATCAACTCTGGGTGAATGCTACCACTAATAGCAGTTTAGTGAGTGAGCAATTTTTATTCAAAAGGTTACAAGAACAAAGTGGGGCTCCACCAGTAATTGATAAGCAAGTATTAGAGGGGTCTGGAGTAATTTTGCAGGTACAGTGTGGCCTTGTAAGAAACACTTTGCTGATCCTACTGCTGGTTTTACCTGTTACAGTCTGAATTACACTTTCTCAGGTCTGAGCTGATTTGTGCTTTCTCAGAGTTGGAGGAATTCTGACTGATGAAATGTCAGCCTTGCTAAAGATCAGGGGTAAGAAGGTTTCTGGTTCAAGGAACAGCAAATGCAAAGGCCTTGAAGCAGGAACGAATTTGACTCTTGGTGAGTCTCTGGCTGGAGCACAGTGTCACAAGATTGCCTTACACAGGTGTGGGGCCAGGATGACACTGCGGACGATGAGTGACTAGCTGGAAACCAGTTGGGAAGCAGTGACACTTGGTAATGGTTTTACTGGGTTCTCCGAGGTCCAGTTCTAATGCTAGAAAGAACGCTGGATTCTGAGTCAGAGGTATGCATGTGCTCTAGCTCTGACTCTGCTACTGTGCATGTGTGATCTTGGGGAAATTTCTTTTTTTTAAAGATTTTTATTTATTTATTTATATAAGCACTGGGTACAGTCAGAAGCGCGGGAGGGTGAGAGAATTCACCAGAGCCAGAGTGGGGAACTGAACAGACAGACCGATGAAGTACACTGCTGAGGGAAGCAGCGGGCGCGGCAGGAGAGGTCTGCGCGCCATGTGGGACCCTCGCCGGTGGCCGGGGATGGAACCGGTGCTGCAGAGGCTGTGGGCAGCTTCGCAGCCCAGCGCTCAACCGCTGCGCGACCAGGGGAGGCCCTTGGGGAAATTTCTTTTAAAAAATGATAAGAGATTGAATCCACACACAAGTCATACAATCCATTTAACAAGTATCCAATTCATTAGGTTCTAGGGTAGCCGCAGAATTGTGCAACCATCACTACAATCAATTTTGGATCATTTTAATCATCCCCCCAAAAAAGCGCCACACCCTCCAGCAGTCACTCCTTATTTCCTTCACCCTTTCAACTCTCCCCCAGCACACCCTCTAACTCCACCAGCCCTAAGCAACCACCAATCTGTCGGCATGGATTTGGGGGCAAATTTAGTATCTCTCGGTGCCTCAGTTTCTCTTCTACAAAATGGAGACAACAGTCGTACTATTAGCCCTAGAGGAGTTGAGGGGATAAGCGAAAACTGAAGCCCACTGCCATGATTCTATGAAGAGCCTGACGTCAGGCTCAAGGAGTGGTTCCGAAAAGCAGCGGGTTTTAGTTCCACGCCCCTCCAAGACACGCCCCTGCCGTCTGTCTCCAAGGCAACGTCAAACATTTTTCTTGGGCTCGCCTTTCCCGTGCCGCAGTCCCGATCCCTCCCCTTTCCTTTCTCTCCTTACCGGATGGCTACACTGAGAGCTGCCAGAGGCTCCCGCAGGCCTCCCCACTGTCATCTTCTCGGCGGGACAGAGGCGGAGGCGGCGCGGACAGCTGCAGGGGCTGGGGACAGCGGCAGGCGCCGCGGCGGCGGAGCTCGCTGTCGGGCCGGGCACCGCCCCTTTGCAGTTTGGGTTTCTGGTTGGCTCCCAGGCAGATTCATGACCCATTCCCCGTGCACCCTCTAGCCCGTCCCGCCCAAGAGCCTTTTTCTTATTGGTCTAGTTCCTCTGGCGTTCTATTTCCGGCTCCGGGGCCGGGACTTCCGGTAGCAGTGATTGGCGGGCCGTGCTCCGGAAGTGCTTCCTAAGGTCTGCCCTGCGCGCCGCCAGGCTAGGTGCGGGTCGGCAGCATGGCGGCCTGGCTGCTTGGGAGCCGGTGCGGTGCTGCAGCTTCTCGCAGAGCTCCTCTGGGCTCCCGCCGGCGGTGGTCCGACCACTCGGCAGACACCGTCTATGATGTGGTGGTGTCGGGCGGAGGCCTGGTCGGAGCTGCCATGGCCTGTGCCTTGGGTAAGCGCATACCCAGGGGAACTGGGCAGTGGAGAGCTATGAGGACCGAGGGACACCCCCAGTACCCCAGCTGCGGACCACGTGGTCCATTCCTGCCCACAGCTGCCCCGGAGGGAGCGTTTGAGTCTTTGGGGTTCAAAGGGGTCAAAAGTGGGAGGGGCCTTAGGAGTCATACCAGCGCTGTGGGAAACAGACCTTACCAGGGTTAATTATGGGCACACTTAGAAAGCATTGCGTCTTAGGGATAAGAGGTTTTAAAACTACTTTTTGAGATAATTTGCATGCTACATTTTAAAGCATACAGTTTAGCTATGCAATTCGCAAAGGTAATCATTGTGCCAGTTTATGGGACATACTTTTAAAAAGAAGATTCCGGGTGACTGACTGATTGTCCAGGTAGCACCCAGGAGCCTTAATTTTGAATAAATACTTCTGGCCGTGGGTGCGCAAGATCTGGCGACCTGCTTTGAGAAGGAGAAATCCTGAGAAGAGCTTAATTGCTTTGTCTTGACTTCACCTGTTAGCTTTTAAGGCAATCCCTTATGATACTATCCGAAAGGTTTGCCAGTCTTAGTAAAACTTCCGTGTTTGGTGTTTTGTTACCCTCTTTGCATTACTTGATTTCCTTCTTATTTTGTTCTTTTTCTCACCCTCTTCCCCCAACCCCACCAAGAGGGGAAAGCAGCAGTGCTTTCTCTTATATTGCAAATTCCAAATTACAGGTGCTTATTATCCTGTGTCCTCCATGGAAGTACAAATTCTTAAGTCAGAATTGACTTTAAACAGACAGTTACAATATAGAATTCACTGTTGAAATTTGCAAAAGCAAAGTCATGGGTCAAGGGCACCCCGGGTTGTGAGAATCACTGCTCTACTAAATCTCAGCATTCACATGCTGGCTCATTTCCTAAAAATGGTCAGAGAAAATACTGAATGTCAAAGTATGAAAATAAAAAAAAAAATAGTATGAAAGTGACAATCTGGAGGGCTGGGGAATCTTTCAGGCAACTTATCCAGTGAGCAAGCCTCTGCTGTTTTCCTGTAAAATTACTGAGACGGAACAATATGGATGGAGACTTTGTACTTGGGTGGAATCCTCTCAGCTTTCTCTCGGCAGGACTGGTGCAGGGCTGTTTTCTACTGTTGCATCAAGTACAATGCTTGTTCTTGGTTGGCACAGCATGCAACTCAAAGGATATTCGTTGTCAATAGTTTATATGCGATGGACCTTTTTCATTTCAGCATCCACTTAAGCAGCCACTTTAAAAGTGAGGACTTTCCAGTGGGCTCTTTATATTTCCCCATAAGTCAATTTATGTTTTCCTTGATTCTTCTCTTTTTCATGCATAACTAGTTTGCATTTCAGGCTTGAAACATCTATGTTTTCCTCTCATGTTGTTATCTGTAAATTGTATTCTCTAGTATTTTTTCCTGGAATGAGTTTTATAAAATGTTACATTAAGTAACTAAAAATGATACTGAACCTGGCTATATTTTTATAATGTTTGGAAATCTAATTCTGTTAGTTTCTTGGTCTCTCTGTTAAGACATTAAGACATATTTTATGGATTGAGGAGCTATAACATTTGTTGCTAGGGATATAAGAAATGATCTCTGCCCCCAAGGAATTTAGAATCTAGCAAAGGAGAAGGATTTGTAAATAAAAGGAAGGACAAAGCGAAAGCTCCTCTAGAGGAACAAGCCAACTGTCCTGTCCTGGAGGGAGAACTGCGGTGGTCTCAACGGCTGGGAGGTGAGGCTTGAGCAGGTAGCCCCTTCCATGGAGGGGACAGGTGGGTGTTGGCGTCGGGTGGCTGCTGTCCTGTGCAACGAGTGTGGGCCTGCCCTGATGCCACTTAGTGCAGGTGCTCTGGGGGGGCTGCTTTTCACACTCTTTGGTGCCTCTTTTCATTTAGAGTCCAAAATATGAAGAAAAAGAGCATAAAGGTTTGTGGGTTTTCTTTCACCATCACTAGGTAAATCCTATACTGTCAATTCTTTTGTAATCCTAACACATTTTCCTTCTTTTGGTGGTGGCCACAACTCACCACTTATCTTTCTCCTGTGACTTCAGACACTGAGGGACTGCATCTACTCTGTAGTCACCCAAGTCCCCTTTTTCCTTCTCTCTGCAGATGCCTTAAGACTAGATGGGTCGGCATAATTGATGTGTTTCTTGACCCCCCTTTTGTTTTATGTATTAATTTTTTATCCTTGATTTAGTCTTGAGGCCTCAGGAATTTTGCTTATTAAATCCATTTTTTGTTGAACAGGATTTATAACTTTTAGTGACTTAATACTTTGAAGATTGAAAATATCTGGTGTGTAGTGATTACAGCCTTCCTTTTAAACATCATGCTTGCCTTTGTAGGACATTTTATTGGCTCGTTATTGTCCATGGCAGGTGTTGGGCAGTCTGGAGAAGACTCACTTTTGTGTGTGGGGCGGGTTGCCTGGCTGCAGTGGTGGTATATTATTGCTTAGGACTCTATGTGGTGTTTCCTTTTTGGGTGCCTTGTGAGAAATTTGTACCCTAAGGACGAAGGAATTAGGTAATTTGTTGTTTCTCTTGGAAATGAGAAAGGGAACAAATTCTGACCTTTCCTAATGATATATAATATAGCCTTTTTTTTTTTTTTTTAAAGGCTATGATATTCACTTTCATGACAAGAAAATCCTGTTGCTAGAGGCAGGTCCAAGGAAAGTATTGGAGAAATTGCCAGAAACTTACAGCAACAGAGTCAGCTCCATATCCCCTGGCTCTGCAACCCTTCTCAGCAGTGAGTTGAAGATCTACTCATAGAACCTGTCTCCTATCTCTTGACTTTCCAGTGTGTCCATAGGGCAGTCAATAGAGCTCCTCATGGGAAAGGAGCCTACAGAGGATGAGGAGTGGGGGTGGGGTTGCTAGTCTGGTACATAGTTGAAGATGATCCCTGAAATGTGTCAGGTCCTATAGTCAGAGGAAGACATTTTTGGGTCATATGGGTCCAGGATGCAGACTTTTGTTTGTGATGTTGGGTCATTATGAATTTGTGGAATAGAAACTGTATAATCAAGCTCTGCAACTACTACTGGACATATATGTTATGTCCATACATATATATGTTTTTTTATTGCCTATTTTCCCAACTATCATACAAACAGCAGGATAGGGACTTTGTTTGGTTTCCCACTTTATGCTCAAAATATATTTGGCACATAATGTATCTGTTCAGTGCCAAGAGGAGTTACAAGACAAAAAAATAATAAAAATAGTATCTAGAGAGTTTGTAACTTCAGTAGCTTGAGAAAAAATGAAGGATAATTTGGGTTTGTTTTCATTTTTTTATTTCCACTATTTTAATGTGATTTGAGCTTTTAATCATGAAAGCTGGATCTTTTTTCATGCTATGTAATCTAGAACCAGAGAAAGAGTAGTTTGACTCCTACCACTAAACAGGGCAGAAGTGAAAGGTATTTGTTTATTATTGGGGGAAGACTGACACTACCTCTAACTTAAACACAGTGAAGGGAGGGCAGCCTAGGAGGGGGATGTAGGTTCCATGAGGTCACTCTGGTCTACAGATCCTTTCTTTTATAGGTTTTGGTGCCTGGAACCACATCTGCAACATGAGATACAGAGCATTTCGGCGAATGCAGGTGCTTCCTTATCACTTTTGGCGAGATATTTTGGTTACATTAAGATACTGAAGTGCACATTCTCCGAGTTTTCTGTGAATATGGGACGAACTGGCAAAGTTCATACTCAGTATAAGGTAGTCGGGGGGGCGGGGGAAGCATTCCTGAGAATTTTCTTCTCACTGTATGTCTCTTACCAGAGTGGCTGACAGATTTTCTGATCCATCACTTGGGAGAGCATTAGTCAGCTTCTCACTGGAGTAATGCTTTCTGTTCCTTGGGTGACACAAATTTTCCTTTTGTGTTTCCAGGTATGGGATGCCTGCTCAGAGGCCCTGATAATGTTTGATAAGGATAACTTAGATGACATGGGCTATATCGTGGAGAACGATGTCATCATGCATGCTCTCACTAAGCAGCTGGACGCCATGTCAGGTGAGGCATCCATTTCTTTCACACGCTGGAGGAGACTTGCTTTAAAATTATCCTAGGACTTATTGGAAGAAGGGATTCCTTTTACAGATCTTGACTGTCCACCACAAAGAAACCCTCTGATGGTTATCGCAGTGTGGTTTTGTTTTGTCTTGTGTGCAACTTTATTCAGGCACAATTTTATATACCATAAAATTCACCCATTTAAGTACACTTTTGTTAATATATATATAGAGTTGCGTCATTATTACCATCATGGTATCATTTTAGAACATTTCCATCACTTCAAAAGGAAACTTTCCCTTTCCCCACCCTCAACCCTGTTGTTTCTGTATATTGGGTCTTACCATTATAGAGAGATTGTGCAATACGTATTCATTTGTATCTGACTTCTCTCACTGAACATATTTTTGAGAGTCCTTCATGTAGTGATCTGATCAATACTCCATTCTTCATTACTGCTGCCTTGTGTTTCCTTATGTGAACACACCCTTTTGTCCTTATCCACTCATCAGTTGATGGACATTTGGGTTTCTGCTTTTGGATAATTGTGAATGATGCTCTGAGCATTTGTGTACAAGTTCTTGTGTGGACATGTTTTCTTTTCTCGTGGGTTGATATTTAGGAGTGGGATTGCTGGGTCATAGAGTAATTCTATGTTTAACATTTTCGGAAATTGCCAAGCTGCTTTCCAGCGAAACGGCACTCTTTCACTTTTCACCAACAATATGAAGGTTCTAATTTCTCCACATCCTCACCAACATGTGTCATTTCCTTTTTTTTTTTTTTTTTTGTGGGACCCTTACCGGTGGCCGGGGATTGAACCGGCGCTGCAGAGGCTGTGGGCAGCCTTGCAGCCCAGCGCTCAACCGCTGCGCCACCAGGGGAGGCCCTGTGTCATTTCCTTTTTAAAAATATTGCAGCCATCCTAATAGCATGAAATAGTCTCATCTTACAGCTTTGATTGTATTTCCCTAATGACCAATAACATTGAACATCTTTTCATGTGCTTGTTGACTATTTGTATATCTTCATTGGGGAAATACGTATTCAAAATCTTTTGCCCATTTTAAAATTGGATTTTTTCTTTTTTTTTTTTTGAAATATCAGAATTCTTTATATATTCTGCAGATGTATTCTTTATTACATACATGATTTGCAAATAACTCGGGGTTGTTCTAGAAAGAAAAATTGGAAGCATCTTAAGTGTTCTTTGATGTGAGATAGTTAATCCAGGTAATGAACATCCATGCAGCTTTTATAAAAATAATTTAGATTTAGTCACTTAGAAACATGTCCCTAATATTTGTGACCCCACTTGTGTGTGGGGGCAGAAGTATGCATATAAACACTTAGGAAGGCTGTGCAATAAGGCTTTACCTGTTGTCTCTGAGTGGTATGATTAAAGGTGACAATTCCCAGCTTTTAAACCTTTCTTTGTTGTTCATATTTTGAATGTACCATTTTTATGATCAGAAAAGTAAAATGATTTTCAGTGGGAGGAAAAATCATATGAAATCTAGAATTTTTTTGAGCCCATGGTGTCCCCACCCACTACTCCGGAAGCACACGTGGGCTCATAAGTGAAACTGGAGAAGCGGGAGCTTGAGGATAGAAAGAGAGAGTGACATAGTGCCTGGTGCAGCTGATAAGTTTAGTGAGAGCTTAAATATTTGGATTTCTTTACACTGATTCATCCCTACAGCTCTCTGATATGTCAGCTCTCATACCATAGCATCGATTACTAGAGTTATGTTTTAGCTTTTACTTTCTTGTTTAGGAGTGGATGACAAGAGAGAGCTGTCCTGAAACCTCAGGTTTAGTGACAAAATATTTCTCAGCCTGTGTGAGCCGCCTTTCTAATGTTCTGCTTTTTCTTTTCTGACCTCTCCAGACCGAGTGACAGTTCTCTACAAGAGCAAAGCAGTCGGCTATACCTGGCCTTATCCATTCCCCATGGCAGACTCCAGCCCTTGGGTTCACATTACCCTAGGTGATGGCAGCACCCTCCAGACCAAATTGTTGGTAGTTGAAGATTCTTATTTTGCCAGGGGTCTTGCATATTCACATCTTATCCTGGATTCTAGGGCTTCTAGTTTCAGATCTAAGTTACTGTTGAAGTTAATTTTAGGCAAGGCACTTGGTATAAGGACCAGTACCCTTCAAGTCAGCTCAGTGGTCTTAAATGGGCTTGTAAATCTTGTACAGGAAGCAAAGGATTGCTGGACCCAGAAGGGCAGGAACCATGTCAAATCGAGGCTGCTTTTCCTGTCGGGAGTCCTGTGGTCACTCATCCCCTTGCATCTCCCATTTTTTTCTCTCTTTGCTCATCTGTTTTCTCTCTCCATGGCAGCCATTCCTAACCTTAAATCAGGATTATTCAACTCCACTGCCTGCCTCATATCCAAACTTTCTTTAATGTTTTCTACTTCAGATAGTAAGAGAATTTGAGTTTAACCAATGGGCTGCCAGCTTTTGATTCAGATGTCTAACTTTAACCTGTTAACTAAGGCTGGGCTCACATATATATGTAGGGCTACCTCTGGGGACTGGGAGTTGCCTGCCACAGATAGGTTTGCTAGCAGTTGGAACTACAGGAAAAGGCAGACTTCTGGAAAAGTTTCATTTTTTAAGCAGTTATAAGACTGAACAGGTTCTTGTCTCCATGCAGATTGGTGCAGATGGTCACAACTCCAGAGTACGACAGGCTGCTGGGATCCAGAATGTTAGCTGGAACTATGACCAGTCTGCTGTGGTAGCTACTCTGCATTTATCAGAGGTAAGATCCTGAGCCCACTGGGGACCGTGCTTATGTTTAATCAGTAGTAGGTAACTCACAAGCATTCTTCTCTACCATAGGCCACAGAAAACAATGTTGCTTGGCAGCGATTTCTTCCCTCTGGGCCCATTGCTTTGCTCCCGGTAAGAAATCCTTCTGGCTATTCTGCTTAAACGTCCATCCCTCCTCACTTAGGACATCACTTTCTTAGTCTTTCTCTGGTTTCAGGGAAGTATGTCCAGGCTAGCTTTGTTTCCCCTTATCTTCCTAATTTATGCTGAAGAACTCCCAAGAGCAAAAGTTTTTGCCCTCGGTGTTAATGTCCTTGTTTTGACACAGCTCTCAGACACCTTAAGTTCCTTGGTTTGGTCCACGTCCCACAAACATGCAGCAGAGTTGGTGAGCATGGATGAGGAAGAGTTTGTGGATGCCGTCAACTCTGCCTTTGTGAGTATCAGCTTGTCCAGCTGGTGATTGGTTGTGGGGATAGATACAGAAAGGGGGTTTTGACTAAAGAAAAATAACCAAACGGCTGCCCCTCTGTAACTATAGCTCATAGTTACATGTGTATTTTTAATTCGCATCTCTGCTTGTAACTATCAACTTCTACCACCTCACTAATGATTTCACCCTGGTGTATACTGAAGTGCTTATACTCCACTGCTCTGTAGGAGCCAAGAATAATCAAGGAACTGAACATAGTACAGTGACTGCAAAGATCAGTGGGCATTTTGCATATATTCATGGCATGGGCCTTTACAGTGCATCTACTCAGCAATAACTATGTGTATGTAGATGGCTCTGGACATAGACAAATGACAGTTCAGGAAACTCACAGTCAGTTGAGTGAGAAAGACACATAAATGACAATTTCAGTGCAGTGGTAGAAGTATGCCTGGGATGCTATGGGAGCATAAAGTAGGACAATGCACACATGAGGGTTTGGAGGAAAGTATACAAAAAGAGGTGACGGTTTCTGAATGCTCTGATGGGTTGTCCTGATGAACTAGAAGTGAGAGACATTGTAAGCAGAAGTGAGTCCTGGAGTCGAGAGGACGTTGTACAATAATAGCTCACTGTGACTGATGCATGTTATTGAGGGTGGGACAGTAAAAGGTGAATCCGGTAGGTTAGGCCAGGGCATTTTGGCTTGATGCTAAAACCTGATGGGAAGTTGCATTTGTTTGAAGGGCTTGTCACTTGTCCTCCATCAGTTTAGACATGTCAGGTAGCATTACCCTTGGCTTTGGTTATCATGTGTTTCCTTGTTGAACTTTAACTCCCTGCTAGTCACTGATGAAAGTTTACTTTGTGTTATTTTGTGGCTGGTGCTCCTCAGTGGAGTGATGCTAACCACACGGACTTCATCGACTCAGCTGGCTCCATGCTGCAATATGCCTTTGCCTTTCTGAAGCCTACTAAGGTCTCAGCTCGCCAGCTGCCCCCAAGTGTGGCCAGGGTCGATGCCAAAAGCCGAGTGTTGTTTCCTCTCGGGTTGGGACATGCTGCTGAGTACGTGCGGCCTCGGCTGGCTCTCATTGGGTAAGTTAAGAAGAGAGCGAGGCCGCTCCCCTCTTCTCTTGCTGCTGGAAGCCACACCTGAACTGTGCTCTGTTCTTAGGGATGCAGCCCACAGAGTCCATCCACTTGCAGGACAAGGTGTCAACATGGGCTTTGGGGATGTCTCCAGTTTGCTTCAGCACCTCAGTACTGCAGCCTTCAGTGGGAAAGACTTGGGTAAGGATTGAGGTACCTTAGAGAGGTGTCCAGAACTCATGTAGTTAGTGAAGATCAGGACCCTGAAATGACCCTTAATAGCCAGATGTGGTGAACATAAATGTACCCTTTTTGCTAGGAGAGGAGCATTACTGTTGGATTAAGGATGTAACATTCCTCTTTACTCCAGGTTCCATGAGCCACCTCACAGGTTATGAAACAGACAGACAGCGTCACAACATTGCTCTTCTGGCTGCTACTGACCTCCTCAAAAGGCTCTATTCCACCAGGGCCACTCCACTTGTGCTGCTCAGGACATGGGGCTTGCAGGCCACAAATGCAGTATCACCACTCAAAGTAAGACACTTACGGCTCTTTTTTGGCTTACTGAGGAACGACCTGCCTGTGACTCTTAATTTCTTTGAATTTTCTTGGCTATAAAATTATCTTGTCTACCTTCCCCAGGGGTTTTAAGGAAAAAAGTCCTTGCTAGGCTTATTGGTTCTAGAACCCACTTCTATGCAATAACTTTATATAAGAAAGAGCTTAAAATAGTGTATAGGGACTTTTGAAGATGTGCTTAACCTCCTTTTGTTGGTTGGCCAGCTCTTTCCTGAGAAATTTCCTTTTAAAAACACTTTGGAGTGACTCCTGGGCAGAATATCTGAGACTTCTGCTAAGCTTTTGCTTTAATCAAAGTATTTTCTTCTTCACTTGCCCTCACACCTTAAAGTGTCATAATATCACTTACTATGTTTTGTTTTTCTCTAGGAACAGATTATGGCCTTTGCAAGCAAATGAGTGCTCCTCTGGCGGTTATGTTGATGAAAAGAGAACATCTTTTCCTAAGACCATCACATATTTTCCAGATTTAATTTAATAAATTTACATTAGACTTTTCCATTAGAATCTTTAATATGCCTTTGGAGCCCAAATAATAAATAGTAACTTAAGAGGGGGAATCAACCAAGCCAGGAAGAAACTCCAAAGGAGCATAATCATGATTTGGTTGAAAAGAGCTTTTTATTACTAAAACAAAAGTCACTGGGGTACTGTCTCATTCGCTTTTTGCTTTTTCACTTGTTAACCCTTTCTAAAGAGAAGATGTATATAATTTTTTTTTAAGCTGGTCATAAACTTACACAGATATTTTGATAAAGAATTAGCAATTATAACAATGTCATCAATTATTATCATTTTAAAATTAATAACAAACTGCAAATTAAGCATAAATAGCATAAACTTTTGTTACAGGTACACTGGATTTACTGAAAAGAAAATCAGATCTTATTAATGCTAGTTGTTTCTCGTCGTAGCACCAGATTTCAGTTTTACTTATGGTTCCTCTCTGGGATACTACTGTCTGGTAATAAAACAATAAATAATTTCATTGCACAGTTTTAAAACACTCAGGAACCAGGTTAAAGGGGGAAATCTGATTAGCAGCAAATTTGTTCATGTCTGGTGGCTCCCTGGTGGTGGTGGTTTGGTGTGGGTTTTTTAAAAGAGCTCACTTCACAATACCAGAGATACGTCTTTAAGAGACATCTTTTTTTTTTTTTTTTTACGCATCTTGCCAAAAAATCTGATTTAAAGATAAAATGAGAAGAAACAGCCTTTCTGCATCAAGCTAAGCTATTTTGGGGAATAATTTTTGAAGAAAATTATTTGTTACCACAGGGGAGCTTTTAGAGAAAATGTGGAAAATTTATGATACCAGAATAAAAAAGTGACAGTGTTATAAACCTTCCTGGATTTTTGGGAAAATGTGCCTAGAATCAAGGATGGCAGCTAATGACAAAAGCTGTGTTGACTACCAGCACAGTCCAGAAAGTTACTGTAGGGGAAAACAATGTCATCTTTCATCCAAAATTGGAAAGGTAGCCCAGGTAAAGAGTGTGCAAACAAAAGTATGCAAACAAAGGTATGGACCCTCAAAAGTATGCAAACAAAATCAGGCCTAAACATGAAGAATTTTAAGGCACACCTTGCAAGGACCTCCATAACCAGAGAGAATGTTTTTCATATAACACACTCAACATCCATTTTGTGATCACAAGTATTTGAAGTACATAGACATATTAACAGAAAGGAAACTTAAAATTCTCAGACTTCGTAGGCCCCCTTAATATGAGACCCAAAAGGAACACAAAGGGGGACAGAAAGTCATCTTTTTTTCTAAGAAAAATTCTCATTCCAGATTTCTCCTAAAGTAGTTCATTCTTCAGATGTTCTAGTCAAGGTTACTAGAATATATGGATATATTTCTGGTGTTATAATGTACCTACTAAAGAGCTCTGAACATATTTGGGATGACAAGAGTCTGCTGAAGGACAATGGCCTCTGTTAGAAAAAGGAAAACTACAGCAAGACACATAATAGTAAAGCTTGCAAGAGTCCAAGACAAGGAAAAATAATGAAACTGGCAAGGGGGAAGAAACAGATAACTTATAAGGGAAAATCAATCAGGTTAGCCTCAGACTTCTCAAAGAAACACTACGGGCAAGAAGAGAATGGAGGAACATATTCTACAAACTTTAAGACAGCAAATGGCAACCAAGAATACCCTGCAAAATTCTCCTTTATGAAGCAAAAATGACCACCTCAGACAGACAAAAATTCCAGACATTCATTATAACTAACTCCCCACTCCAAAAAACCAACAGGAATGATCAAGAAGAACAGAATAAAGTGAGGAATAAAATCACAAAAAAGACAAGCAAAATGGCAAATACAGATGCCAACCTATCAATATTAACTCTAAATGGATTAAACTTACTAATAAAAAGACAGTAGCAGGCAAGATTAAAAAACAAAATCCAATCTTCTGCTGTCTCCAGGAAACACACTTAAACACAAGGTTGGAAAACAATCGTACAAGCATATAGACCAAAAAAGAAGGCAGGAACAGTTATATCAGATGAAATAGACTTCAAATTAAAAAAGGTAAAAAAAGGGCCTCCTTGGTGGCACAGCGGGTTGAGCGCAGTGCTGTGAAGCTGTCTGCATTCTCTGCAGCGCAGGTTCGATTCCCAGCCGGCCAGGGAGATTCCCACATAGTGAGGCAAACCTCTCCTGTCTCGCCTGCTGCTCTCCTCAGCAGTGTACTTTGGTCCTTCTGCCTGTTCTGCTCCCTGCTCTGTCTCTGGTGAATTCTCTCACCCTCCTGCACCTCTGGTCTATACCCCAGTGATTATATAAATAAATTTTTAAAAAATGGGTCCCCACTACATGTTTAATAAAATTTAAAAAGTAAAGAGACATAGGTGGACACAACATGGTCAAGTGGACATACATCAGGAAGATGTAACACTCATCAACATATACTCACCAAATGAAGGAGCACCAAAATATATTAGACAATTATCAGCTCTGAAAATGGACATTAAGGAAAATACATATATAGTGGGAGACTTCAACACTCCACTCTTACCAATGGACAGATCAACAAGACAAAAAAATAAAGATACTAGAGCCCTAAATAATGACATAGAATTCATGGACTTAACATATCTATAGGACACTGCACCCAAGAAATTCTGAGTACACATTTTTCTCAAGTGCACACAGATCATTCTCCAGAATAAATCACATAATGGGTCACAAGACAAACATCAACAGATACATGAAGACCAAAATCATTTCAACTATCTGATCATAAAGTCATCAAACTAGAAATAAACCATGAAAAGAAAACAAGGAACCCTCCCACTTCATGGAGATTGAAATCCATACTACTGAAAGACCACTCGACTAATGAGATCAAAGAAGAAATTAAACACTTTGAGGGCCTCCCCGGTGGCACAGCGGTTGAGCGCTGGGTTGCGAAGCTGCCCTCAGTCTCTGCAGTGCCGGTTCGATCCCTGGCAGCTCCCCAGACACCGGAGGAGAGTCCCACATGGCGTGCAGACCTCTCCTGCCGCCCGCTGCTCCCCTCAGCAGTGTACTTCAGTCCTTCTGCCTGCTCTGCTCCCCGCTCTGGCTCTGGTGAATTCTCTTACCCTCCTGCACTTCTGACTGTACCTAGTGCTTGTATAAATAAATAAATAATCTTAAACAAACAACAAAAAAGAAATATTAAAAAAAAAATACTTTGAGTTGGGCCTCCCTGGCGGCACAAGGGATTAAACACTGCACTATAAGCAATCCACAGCCTCTGCAGCACGAGTTTGATCCCTGGTCGGCCAGGGAGCAGCCCACATGGCACAGCAGGCCTCTCCTGACTTGCCCACTGCTCCCCTCAGCATTGTACTTAGTCTGCCTGTTCTGTTCCCCACTGTCTCTGGTGAGTCATCTCACCCCCCGCATCTCTGGCCTGTACCCCAGCTCTTGTATGCATAAATAAAGGAATCTTAGTTGAATGACAAGAAGCACACCACTTTCCAGAATGTATGGGATGCAGTAAAAGCAGTAATAAGAGGAAAATATGTAACAATACAGGCTCACAACAAGAAACAAGAAAGAACTCAAACAACCTAATCTCGCATCTCAAAGAGCTAGAAAAAGAATAACAACAACAACAAAAAAAACCCCTAAAGCCAGTAGAAGAAAGGAAATTAAAAAAAAAAATCAAAGCAAGAAATAAACAAAATAGAAATTAAAATAAAAAATCCAAAAGATCACAGAAACCAAAAGTTGGTACTTTGAAAAAATAACCAAGTAGACAAACCTCTAGCCAGGCTCACAAAGAAAGAACGGGAGAAAACACACATAAATAGGATTATAAATGGAAGAGGAGAAATCACGACCAACTCAGTACAAATCAAAAGAATAATCAGAGATTACTATGAACATATATATGCAAACATTCAATCTAGAAGAGATGGACAAATTCCTAGAAAGATATAATCATCCAAAGCTGGATAAAGAAGAAATAGGGCCTCCCCTGGTGGCGCAGTGGTTGAGTGCTGGGCTGCAAAGCTGCCTACAGCCTCTGCAGCACCGGTTTGATGCCGGGCCGCCAGCGAGGGTCCCACATGGCGTGCAGACCTCTCCTGCCGCGCCTGCTGCTCCCCTCAGTAATGTATTTCGTTGGTCTGTCTGTTCTGTTCCCCGCTCTGGTGAATTCTCTCACCCTTCCGTGCTTCTGACTGTACCCAGTGCTTGTATAAATAAATAAATCTTTAAAAAAAAAAAAAGTAAGCAAACAGAAACTACATCTTTTTTTAAAAAAATAAAACAACTAAATATACCATACAAGCAGTGAAATTGAGGCAGTAATCAAAGCACTCCCCAAAAATAAAAGCCCAGGCCCAGAAGGCTTCACAAATGAATTCTACCAAATGTTCAGCAGTGAATTTGTGCCTATCCTACACAAACTCCTTCAAAAAATTGAAGGAATACTACCAGATACGTTCTACAAAGCCAACATTACACTAATACCAAAACCAAAGACAGCACAAAGAAAATTAAAGGCCAATCTCCCTAATGAACACTGATGCAAAAATCCTCAACAAATCCTTGCCAACAGAATCCAACAATGCATCAAAGGGATAATATACTATGATCAAGTGGGATTCATCCCAGGGGCACAGGAATGGTTCAACAGACAAAAATAGATCAGTGTAATCCAACACATCAACAAAAAGAAAAATAAAAGCCATATGATCATAGCAATAGATCCTGAGAAAGCATTAAACAAAGTCCAACATCCATTTATGATGAACGCCCTTGAAATTCTTGGGATAGAAGAAACATACCTTAACATGATAAAAGCCATATATGGCAAACCCACAGCCAATATTCTCAATGGTAAAAAGCTGAAGGCCTTTCCTTTGAGATAGAAACAAGACAAGGATGTCGTCTCTTACCACTGCTCTTCAATATAATACTGGAGGTCCTAGCCAGAGCCATAAGACAAGAGAAAGACATAATAAGGAATCCAAATAGGGAA